GGCTAAGTATCTACAGAGAAGTTTTGCACTCGTGGGAGTGGAAGTTACCCGCACACTTGAGAGGGTTGAGACACGTGGGAGTTCACAACGGAGCAGTTGACGAAGCGGTTTCATGGAACGTTAAGACTACGAAGATACTTTTCGAATAAAAGCAGCGTGGCAAGGAGAGAGATGGGACAACCAAATCAGCACATAAACACATCTGTCAACTTTATCTTTTCTTTGTAACTCCCTTCGCGGAGCTCTTCTTCCAGGAAGGATATCCATAGTCGTAGCAGTAGTCGTAGTCGCGGAGCTCTCCACAGGAATCTCCATAGGAGTAGATCTAATGTAGATTCCCAAAAACTCAAACACGCTCGTTCGAACATTGTTTGGAGAGGTGTGAACTGAGTAACAATCGTCTTGGTTTTGAGAAGTCAGAGGTGCATCGATCAAATCAACATCGCCTGTCGGTGGATATTTGATGATCGTCTTGATTTTCAGAAGTCAGAGTTGCACCGATTAAACCAACACCGCCCGGTGGATATTTGACGATCGGCGAGTCAGTGGTGTATCCATTCATTTGGCACCGCAAAGGTTTCCACATCGAAACAATAAAATCAACACCCCCTGAAACTATTCGGCACCGACGTGGTATGTGGTTTCTCGGGATAAAATTTGGCACACTTGGTGGGACACTTGTGTTTGATGAGAATATGGCTCCGCGTCGAGGAAAACCATATTGCGATCTTCCATGCGTACCTGTGGTGGGGGAGGCGGCCGACATTGAAGTTGGTCAGGCTAACAAGGCAGATAGACGTACTCAAGGGATGGAGGAGCTATTACATGCTGAAATCCTATATCTACGCCAATCTATGGAGGAGTTTCACCAAGAGGTAAAACTTAAATTTGATAATCTTGGAAAAAATATAGATCCATGGTGTGATAAATTGGATAATTGTATTTCTGATTTTAATATGTCAATATGTAGAGCCACGTATGATTTTGAAGTGTTTAAATCTGAAACCATTTCTGTTGCGTGCGATGATACGATGGTGGGTCGACTAATTAATGTCAATCCAACGTGTCCTTTCCGGTGAACACCATTGTTCTTAAGGACTCACAAGTTGGAGGTAACTTGCAGGGTCGCAACTTGAGGATAAACAATGTCGTTGAGTATAATAATCAAGGTGGAGAACTTGGTCACAAGTACGTTGAGCATAGCAAGCTCGCATATGATGGGTTGTCAAAGCAACATCGCAATGACATTCACTCTGAACCGCTCGGGGGGCATGAGATCCCATCTCGTGGTAAATTTAAAGATAAACAACATTGCAAGTGCCGAAGAAGCTTGCCACATCCATCCTGTTCTAGGAAAAATCAAACAAGGGTTGTCGTGAACTCTCCTCAATATGGAGGTGGCAACCACGTGAAAATAATCAATGCCACCAAATATGGAATGAATCGATTGAATCATTCATGTAAAATGTCCCCAAAGACTCAATCGAGTGGACAGGCGGGCAAGCCCGATCAAACCTGACATGGAGCTTTCATGCCAGTGCTGGCTTTTAACAAGTTTGGTGTGAGTGGAGGACAGGGGGCAAGGCCAATGCTCAACAAACTCCAAACTCACGTGGACTATTAAAAGGCGCAACGTTATTGTGTGATAGGTTCAAAAGTCATGATCGTGGCAAACGGAGTACCCACACACGTGTTGGTGGTACTTTGAATCCTCAGTGCTCACACTCTCAACAACGCTGTGGGACTATGCGGCAGGCAAAACCCGACCGACAAGCAATGTCACATGGTCGACTTAGCCAAACAAAGGTGCCAAAGAACACCTGTGATTCTCTATGGAACGAGCACGAGATTAAGCAAAAGCGAGCTTGTGAGATTTCGAACAAGGATGTTCAAGCTAGATGAGCTAAAAAGTGGCAATGCAGTGCTGACTTCAAAATGTCTCAGTCGTGTGTAAGTCCAGCTCTGATGAGTTTGAGATCTATGGATGACTTGCCTGGTTTGATGAGTTGAATTGGCAATGGGTATGGACTTTTGGCATGATGATTTATGCCAAAGTTTAGCATGTTTTATTTTTTTTTATTAATAAAATATGGCTAATTGGCCATGTTATATGTTATTTTAAAAAACTAAAAATTACAAAAATCTTTTGAGCAACATTGCAGAGAAGAAGCCACAAGGTTGTTGGCAGTGGTGCGCGATGATTTTGTTTTGCAGCGTTCAAAACATGTTTGTTTCGGCAAAGAGGAAGGCCTGGCTAAACATGGTTGTTTTACCCATGAAGCGGAGTTGCTTAAGCGGGGCCGTTTTATTTTTATCTTCTTCTCAATAATGGTGTTGGAGCCACAATGCCATGAAGTATGTGTTTGGCCAAAGAAAAGTGGAATAAAATAGAAAAATTGGCGAAACAACGTCGTTGATCGAAATCATGCTGCCGAATAGTTGCTACGAGACGTTTATTTTTCCTTTCGACAACGACGTTGTTGGGTTTTCATCAAGGTTGTCAACCCACGCGTGGGTCAACCCACTTTGACTCTGACCTGGTGAGATAAATGGGTCGTACGCACTCGTCGGGTCGACCGCTAAAAGGTACCGGGTTGGAGGTCAAATTGTGTCATTTTCTTCTTTGGTTTGCGAAATGCGCCTATTTTTCGATTTTTCTTTTCGCCTAACCCAATCTTTGAAATCCTAAGTTGAACATTTGAATATTGATGTTATATAAGTGTGTGTGAATTTTCATTATATGTTGGATCTAAGTACGACATGTTATTTTGGTGGAATATTATATGTTAAAACTCATATGTTAGATGAGATTTGATATAATTTATGAGGATAAGTACAATATAATGACTCTTTTCATATTTTTCGGGCTAAACCGAGCTAAAGCGGGTGACCTATTAACCCTTGACCCACTAGCTCGACCGGGTCCGGGTCAACCCGCAGATTGACAACCTTGGTTTTCATCATAAAGCGTGTCTAACATTGTGGCAAAAAAAAAAATGGATTAAAAGCCGGCCAGAGAACAATGTTATTGTGATGGAAGTGAAATAGAACGCATGTGTTTTGGCTGCTGCAGCATTGCAAGTAGATCCGTTATTTTCTTAGTGAGGCGGGCGTACAAAAGAAGTCTGGAAAAATAAAATTTTATTATTGGCCGCAGCGTTGTTGGTTGAATCAACGTTATTAGGTTGTTTAGCGAAGCAGCCGAGAGGGATTTACTTGGAACCAAAACACTGCCGTTAGACTAAACAGTGTTGCCAAAAATTAGTGGCGCTATGGATGATATATTGGTTTTGTACGAGTAAACCAAATTTAAAAAGGAAATAAAAACAAATTAAAATAGCAGTCATGAAACAGTATCGTTTTGGGTCAAATAGCACTGCGCCTTAGGTCTACAACGACACCGACTTGGTGTTTTGTCTTTCTTCATTTGAACAACAATGCGGACCTGGTTGTGCTGCCTTTGTTGACAGTATTGCTCAGCTCTATTGATGGCTAGCAAAAGAAAAAAATATTGGAAGGGAATTATTAAGCCCAAGAAACGTTGTCACAGGAAAGAGCAAAACTGAGTTGGGGAAAATTCAGTTTTGCCAAGACTGTTATAAAATAAAAACAGTTTAGGCCGAACTGTAGTTCAGGGTAAAATAATAAAAGAAGAAGTTATGGCCAACAGTGCTGCCACTAATGGCAATAGAAGAAGAGATGGTACCGAAGTAAACAACGTTGTGTTGTGTCCTTAAAACAAATGGGCATGACAGAGAGATTTGGAGTTAGTCTTTACTCTATGGCTTCACGTCGTTTTGGTGTTGTGAGAAAACCACAGTGTAATTGGTTTAAAGAAATAAAAGATTAATAATTGATTATTCTCTTTCTCTTTTATCACATAAATTTCTCCATAATCTTCTCTCTCCACTATAATTAAAAGGAAACCCGAAATTAATTTAATTAGATTTTAATATTTAATAAAATTCTAACTTAATAATTTTTTCCTTTTTAAAATAGAAATTAAAAATTAAGGCAAGTTAGTAACCTTACATATAAATGGTAACTATATAGTTATGCATGGTTAAGCACTATTAGTTTATGGAAAGGAACCGCTCCCCACATAAATACCTTATATAAATTAATCCGATATGACTTACGGTACAATTTCGTAAATCATGTTTAATTCCCACCCAAAATAGCTGCTACCATTAGAGATGACAGGAGTGTTCTTTGAGCGTCAAGTGAGGCCTCTTCTTTCTCTCAAAATCTGTTATTTCACTTCGTGACAACTTGCAATATAGTATTAACATTTTGCAATGACATTATCGACATTTATGAAATAAATCATTATTACTATACTCTAACATTATTAAAGATTTCACTATACGTATCGATTCTTTACAATTATGTTATTGAGAATTTTGAGTCAATCATTACCGTTATACATTTTCAACATCAAAGTTTATGAATGAATCATTGATTTACAACATTATCATTATTGATACTATTAATAATGAGCTCCCAAAATGCACTACAACAAATTCGGCCTATTAGATTGAGCATGAATCCTTCAGATTGAGGGAATGTGAAGCACTCCTCTTCATTCACAACCGCCGCCAACTGGTGCTAATCCTCTGGCAAAGCCCCCAAACTCACAGCTACCTGCCCCTGCATTCTTGCCTGCTTCACGTCGGCACCGATGTCAGATCCACTGATACCGCACTTCTTCATCTTGCTTGAGCTCAGTTTTGCTTTCGTTTGTTTTGAAGAGACAGGAGAGCGAGCCGTTCCCACTGAATGGTCAGACTTGTTCGAAGTTTTGAGCATATCCTTCCTCCATCAATCTTCTTCGGATTCTAAACCAAACGGTTAGAAGCTCTGCTCCTTTTGCCGAAAAGGTATTCCAGCCGAGACTGATCTACTGGAAATCCCTCTGCTAACACTAATTAGCAAAAAGCTTCCCTCTTTTGTAGAATGCTAGTTAAAATAGCGACCTTGTGTTGTCCGGAATATAAGATCTACTGATTCTTGGTGGTGGCGCCAAGCATTCTGGCGGGAGTGAACGGCAAAATCCGGCGTGAACCACCGTCTAGTGCCTTAATGGCAGAAGACCAGCAGTATATTAACCCGGAATCAGCTGGCCAAATCCTCCATTCCAATTCCATCCCCCGCCCGCCCAGCTCGTATCCCCTGATATCGGGAGGATCCTCCGCCACCCAGCCCGTAATCATTGCCCCTTGATCTCCTCCCCTGATTCGGGAGTATCCTCTGCCGCCGGAATCAAAATCATACATCCAGAACCCCCCATCTTGCTCGAGCTCCGACGATGATTAGGCTGACCGCCGATCACCATTGAGTCCCTCTCAACCGTTACATTCTTTAATGGACTTGAATATAATTAAATCATTGACCCTCACCTCCATTATTAAGGGATTCAAGGCTGCATTTACGACTGGAAAGCGTACCTTTAGGGACACAATCGGGCTACTCAGTAGCCTAGGTAGCGATTCAAAATCGCAAAACCCATTAAATGGGTATTATGGAGGAATCAGCTCTGTCAAGACCATACGAAACGGCCAGGAAATTGATTCTAACTACAATATTCTTCCCATCTTGAATCAACAAAAGCCCGCAATAAGGGCCCCTAATTTTGCCCAAATTTTAAAGGCCAATCTGCTCCCTTCCTTAAGAGTAGAACCCTTTAAAAGATCTCCAAAAATCGGGCCAACTTACCCCATATCCAGTATCCCCAAATCCTTCCCCTATTTCACGATAGAAAAAACAGAGTATTCTCTGATCTCCTCCGCCCTCACAATGGCAGGTCCAATCGAGTTCAACGACAAGGTGCTGGAAGCCGGCCAGAACAGAGCTCTCCTAAGCTTGATCAGTCGGTTACTATGTTCGTCCCACCCCTCCAGAATCCGTGTTGAGCACACCTCCAATAACTTATGGGCCAACAGAGCTCTGGTCACCGTCCTGGATGCAGAACATGGTCGGTTCCATCTTGTCTTCTCCAACGCAACTGATCGTCAGGAAGCCTTGGGGAAGGCTCCATGGTTCCTTCCTTCAAAAATTATCACTTTAAAAAAGTGGGAAGCCTCCTGAACGGGTCTTCCTCGAACTCGCCCGCATTCCATATCTCGTCCAACTCTGGAATTTGCCCGAGGAGTACAGAACTGTTTCTCTGGGAAGGCTACTAGCATCTCGATTGGGCTCCATCAATGACTCTAGGATGTACGATGTCTGGGAAAATCCGGGCTGCGTATTCAAAGCCAGAGTGATGATAGATGTTTCGTCTCCCATACAACATCGACTGGAAGCCAGGAAGAGGAATGCAGATGGCTCGTTGGGGGATCTGTTCTGGGTATCCCTCAAGTACGAAAACATCAAGACAGTGTGTTTTAGGTGCCGAAGAATTGGCCACAATCAGAGCTTCTGCTCATTCGACTTGGTGACAGGTGACGACGGATTCGGACCGGAGATCATTGGAAATCGTACTGGTCCAAAGCTCAATGAGAACTCCTACGCGACGACGCGCAAAGGAGGACGGAACTGGGGAGGCAACGTTTGGCGTCACGGAGCTCGGCCCTCACCGCAGTCACGGTCCAACACGCTGCTGCTCGAAGCTCCTTCCCGGAATGGTGGCAAAAACATTGTCGGTGGAAGACAGGGTCCGCCGCGAATGTTCAGACGAGGAAGAAGGGCTGAAGATGGGGACGTGGGCCAACTTGGGGACGAGTAAGGGCCTAAAAACCTTGGGCCGAGAAAAGAGTTAACCCAGCCAAGAGAGGAGGCAGGAGGCAGCAATCCGGCCCAACTGGTTGAGGAGGTCGAACGCAGCAGCCAAGCCCAAGCCAGGGCCGAGCCCATAAATAATAAAGCCCTGTCCACTCATCCATTGGTGTTGGAACCCATTCCTCTCCAATTTCAAGTTCCATCACCTTCATATGGGTTAGGTAACTTATATTGTAGTGAAGATCCTGGATTTTAATTTGACGATTTAGAAGATAATCACTTATTTGGCTTGCAAGGAGTAGGGATGGATTTCTTTGATAATGGAGGAATGGATCAATCTACAGATACAACCATTTCTTGCTCCCTGATAGGGTGTGTGGCGGATGGAAAGTCAAAAGGGAAAGCGATATTGATAGAATCGTCAGAGTCCCCAAGAGTTTATGTTCGAAGAAATGCTGGAATCTGTATCCAAGAACCAGAAGAAGGAGTGGTAAATTCTAATCCAAAGAGTCCAGGCGAGGAAAAAAAGCAAAGGAAAAAGGGTGGAGGTAGCCAGCCCCAATTGGCCCCAACACCCTAAATGAATGTCTACGCGTGGAATTGTCAAGGGGTGGGGAGTACCTTGACATTCCAAACGCTAAAAGCTCACCGAAATTTTTCTAAGTCATTCTTATTTCTTTGTGAAACGATGTCTCCTGGTGACAAAGTTGAGTCTTTTATGTCTCGATTAGGTTTTTCAGATTGCTTCCCTATTAACCCTTCCGGCCTGTCGAGGGGTCTAGTATTTGGTTGGCCACGAGGAGCTTCGTTTTTGGTCATTGGCTCAACTCCTTTTTTCATTGCCATTTTGGTCATCAATAATAACTCCCATTGCTACGGTGCTTGTCCTCGTTTTGTGCTAATAGGAGTCTATCTATCGTACATAATCACAAAACGGCGCACACAACTAGAGGAGCTTAAAGGTGTTTGTGCAAGATTGTCAGACCCCTTCCTAATAATTAGAGATGTTAACTGCTCATTATCTCCGCTAGAGAAATCAGGAGGGGCCCCATGGCGTATGACAAAGCCCGCCCCCTTTGGGACTTTCTCAATACTATGGGTCTACTAGAAGTGAGATTTCAGGGACCAAAATTTACATGGACCAACCGAGGCAGAAATGGTATCCTGATTGAGCAAAAAATTGACAGAGCATTTGTTTCCACAAGCTGGGCATATTACTGGCCGGATTCCTGTCTATATCATCTCTCAGATAAAGGGTCAGACCACAGACTCCTGTGTTTCATGACATCTCTGGAAATGTCTAGAGCGAAACGTCTATTCCATTTTGATATAAGATGTACTCGACTTCATGAAACAAAACTCATAATAGACTATGTCTGGAATATACCCATAACTGGGTCCTTACAATTTTGTCTATTCTACAAACTGCTCAGGGTCCGTCATGCCCTAGTCGATTGGTGCAAAGGGGGTACATCTAATTCAGCCAGACTGATAAAAGATCTAAACTTAGCCCTTGACAATGCACGGAAAAACATTATAGTGGATTGGAACTTGATACAATCACTGGAAGAAAGACTAGAAGTTCAATACAGAATGGAAGAAATTTATTGGAGACAAAAGTCCCGCGTTAACTGGTTAACAGAAGGGGACCGCAACACTCCATATTTCCATATGACAACGGCAATTAGGCGTCATGCCAACTTCATCTGGGGTTTAGAGGACTCTAGAGGTCTCTGGTGCACAAATGGGGACCGGAAATTAAGCATAGGAGTAGAATTTTATCAAAACCTTTTTCAGTCCCAGCTTACTGAAGGTATTGACTTGTCTAACTTGCCGTTTGAAAGACTAGTCTCTGAAGAACAAAATCAAGCTCTCATTGATCGTATCACACCAGAAGAGATCAAAGAAGTAGTCTATCAAGCTTACTGGGATATAGTTGGCCACGAGGTCATTCAAGCAGTCCTAGCCTTCTTTCACTCTGGTCATATCTTACGATCTATTAATAGAACTTGGATTTCGCTTGTCCCAAAAACTGCAGAAGTAAGATCCATGAAAAATCTCAGACCCATTAGTCTATGCCAAGTAATTTACAAGGTCGTAGCAAAATTTTTGGCTAATAGACTTAGCCGGGTTCTCCCCAATATAATATCCCAAACTCAGAATGGCTTTATAAAAGGTCGTCAAATCTCAGACAATATTTTAATTAGCCATGAGTTAACTCATCATCTCCGAATAATGACCTCAGGTCAAAAAACGTGGATGGCATTAAAACTGGATATGGAAAAAGCATACGATCGTGTGGAATGGCCATTCCTTTTCGAAGTAATGAAAGAATTAGGATTTGATCAAAAGTTTATATCCTGGATAAAGGAATGTGTCACAACAGTCTCCTACTCGGTACTGATGAACGAGATCCCCTCCAGCTACTTCCGTCCTTCAAGAGGCCTTAGGCAAGGAGACCCTCTGTCGTCTCTATTATTTGCTATCTGTGCAGAAGGGTTTTCAGCAATGATAAGACAAACGATAGTAATAGGGTATTTGGAAGGAGTCAGAATCCAGGCATCTTGCCCAATGGTTTCCCACATTTTCTTTGCGGATGACTCTTATCTCTTCTTAGAGGCTACCCCGCAATCATTTACAACAGTCCTTTCCCTCTTCCAAGCTTACGAAGGACTGAGTGGCCAACGGGTCAACCTGCAAAAGTCAGTAGTCTTATTTAGCCGCAATATGAACCCATACCAAGCCTCGGAGCTGGGAGCACAGTTAGGTGTAGGTAGCATTGGAGAACAAGATCACTACTTGGGACTCCCATCAATTATATCTAGATAAAAAAGAGAGGCCTTCCAATTCATAGAGGAGAAGCTCATTAAAAAGTTGCAAGGGTGGAAACAACGAACCGTGTCCAAAGCCGGTAAAGACATTTTGATTAGGACAGCAGCTACCAACCTACCAGTTCATGGCTTGTCCTGCTTCAGACCCCTAAAGAAAATTGCAAGTGGCTAAACAGTCACATGGCTAGATTCTGGTGGGGTTCACCGGATAATGTTGATCACCCAATACATTGGGTATCCTGGAAAAGTTTAGCACATAGTAAATTCCTTGGAGGCCTAGGATTCAGGGACTTTAGGGCATTTAACCAGACCTTGTTAGCCAAACAATGTTGGCGAATCTGGAAAAATCCGAACTCTCTCCTTGCCTCAATCTATAAAGGTTGTTACTTCCAGCATGGTTCAGTTCTGGATGCTAATCTAGGTTCGAACTCCTCTTGGGGATGGCGTAGCATACTGTTTGGAAGAGATCTCCTTCTCCAAGGGTTAAGATGGCAAGTTGGAGATGGGCAAGACATTGTAGCCTTCAAAGACAAGTGGGTTGTTTCAGACAAACCCATCACACCACTGGTCCGCCTCTCGAATATAACTAATTCCCCAAGAGTTTCCTTTTTTATAAAGGAAACTAGAGGAGAGTGGCATATCCCAAGGCTCCAATATTGTTTTGATCCCTTAACGGTTAGCGTTATATGTAAAACCCCACTCCATAGATGCCAACAAAGAGATATGAG